ATTTATACGTCCGACGCGTGTAAGGCGTGCGGAGCCAGAGCGACGCTGCAGCACATGCTGTGGAAGTGCACCGGTAACGCACAGCAGTCCCCTACGAACCCGGTAGACATGGCAGTCTCGAACCGCGAGGCGCGATGGGAGGCGGCTCTGCTCAGCCATGACCTTGCCGATAAACTGTGGGCCGTCCGGCAAGCCCAGGATGCCGCCCGGGTCCAAGGACTCGAGGCCGTCACCTAGGCCGGGGTGCTTGTAGCCCCACCCCGCTCAATGACGCCGGACATGTTCAATAAAGTTTTTACTCACTCACTCAGAGTGCAGTTCCTCTTCGTCTTTACACTCCTCTATAGACATTACTTTAAGCCGAGTTCTGGCGATAAATAGTAAAGTTGAAGGAGATGTTAAGTTTATCTTCCAGCTATTTGTTTTCTAGAGATGCGCTAAAATTCCAGAACGTAAAACCACCGTAGCGATGGTGGGAAATGTACCCGGTCTATGCGGAATGCTGACAATTCGGGGCGTGCCTGCGTTTTGCGGTGGCACTTTCTAGTGATTCCCCGTTCCAAACTAATCTTTTTGTAAATACTGCTCTACAGCATGAAGTGTTTTCATTTCATCCTGTCTTTCATGCCTTCAGGCTGCTTCATTCACAAAGGAATAAAAAATGTGTGGTGTTAACATAGGTGTCATTTATTACTTGTTCACACACGAATACCCTTCAGCTCATGTACAAGATATAGAACATGAACTCGGATAATATTGAACTTCAAAAACAAATAACGCGCATGTTCATTGTAGGGTACATCAGCAATAGCCCGTAATGCTTGCTTCTTTGGTGTGACTAGATGACTTCATGACATTTTTGTACTGTGTGACCAAATGACGTGAAAATAGCGCAGATGCGAAGCAAACAGTGCAATAAAATATGGGTTTCTGTCTTATTGGTAGCAGTCTCTTGCAGGTGGGCAACATGCTTGATGCAATGCAACACCTAGATAATATGTAATTGGTATGGTGGTTCCATGTTCGCGAAAACTATCACAGAGCGTTTTAGCTGACGCGAAAAATTCTACTACCGTGTTATTTACTGAAAAAGATATCGTAAGATTGCAAGGCATGGATTTGAAGTTTTTGTTCCTAAAATCACTGCCTGACATGCTATACAGGAGTTACGCTGACAGAAATTTTTTACCAACAAAAATATATTTTTTCTTCGCACTCTTTCTGCCCAATGTACAAGCAGATCACCCTTGGTTCCTACAAGAAGAAACTGGTATCATCCACCTAGATAATGTAGTTACTAGAATTATCAACATTCACAATACCATTTATATACATGACAAACAAAAGTGGACCCTGTATGCTGCTTTGAGACAAACCCTGCCTAATGAGTTTAAATGGTGAGTGATGTCCATTTATTGATACACAATGATTTATATCTGTTATGTAACTTCTAATTAGGTATAAAAGTATTCCACGTGTGCCATAACAATTAAATTTATATACTACAGTGCTGTGATTTATTCTCTCGAAAGTTTTTGACAAATCTACAAATACCCGCAGTGTTAGTTTCTTAGCCTCACTAATTTGCAACATTAGTTATTTTTGTTTGAGAAGATAAATTTCAGTCGACTAGCCGGATTGGAACCCATGTTGAGACGATGTTTTTACAAAATGCTTCGCAAAAAAAAAGAACGCATTATAAGAAGAAAAATTATCTCTAAAGCTTTAGAAAACAAAGAAAGAATCAATATCAGTGAGTAGTTGCTTAAATTATCTTTCACCTCATTTTTGCATCACAGTTACACATGCAACCTTTATCGGCTGAGAGAAAATGCCAAACGTTAATGCCATGTTGCAAATGTGAGTGAGGCAAGGTGAGATCAGGTCAATGACATGAAGGACTGCTTGTATTTTTAGCCCTTTTAATCTTTACTTTTGCTTCCTTTGAACTTTTTAAACATGTTTAGAATTTAGTTATCGTCAGCTTCACACAAATACAATGAATATGTGAGGGGGCTGAAAAATGCGTCAACGCATCTTGATCATGGGTGCTCTCAGCCATTGAAGAAAAGTATTCATTGAATTTATTTGCTAGAACTTCATCGTTAGAGCTCTCCTTTCTTACCTTAAGCTCATTATCAATAGAAATGGGTCGCACTCTTGATAAGACAGAATTCAGCTTCCTTCACAGCTGCTTTACGTCCACAATGGCGCCAAACATGAAGTAGTAGTAGTCACGCTTCGCATGTTTTAGTGACTTATTCAAGTTATTACAGAATGCTTTGAACTATTTCAGCACTCCAGCGACAGGAGTACTTACGAATAAATGGTACAATACTGTGTCTTTATCATTTTGATTAGCTTAAAGAAAATTAATTGTTTATGACGCTTGCTTTGGTTTTTTTTTGGCTCACAATATGGAAAATGTTTTCGGTATAGGAAGCACTGGGTGTCAATAAAGGGGTCATAGGCGCCTTCATATGAAAAACAAGATGGTATGTCATACCATCTTAACAAGCTAAATTCTTTTCTAAAGCAAGATCGTGATTGTGGATTGATGTCCTCAATGTAAATATATCATTCCAGGGCAAGTTTTTGTTCAGCTTGTACACCAGTAATGAGATCTCTAAATACTAATCATACCAAAACTTGGTGTATCAAATGTTTTTTTATAAATATACCTATTAAAGTCACTGTAGTGGTTGTAACGCGAGTTGGGGTAGCTGTAACATTCGAGACGCTGTGTGATAGAAGTAGTCTGGTAAAGTCTGCTTGTTAGATGAAGTGAGCAAGTCAATGTTCAAGTAGCCTTCAAAAACGAAAGTATCATTGTTTTCATTTATGAACTTAAGATATTCGACTAAGCAGACAAAAAAACTATTGATGTTGCCATGAGGTGGTCTGTAGACAACAGTAATGACAGTTTTTTTTTCATACTTCAAGCACGTGACTTCATAATCCTCTTTGTTTCGGGACCAATCATCATCACACAGACAGCTCATACTAACCTCAATATATATGCGCACATAACCTCTGCTTTTCTCTCTGTTAATGTTAATCCCAGTATAGTCATTCATATGAACAACAGCGGCGTCTTTAGAGTACCAAGTCTTACTTAGCATAATGACGAAAAACTTGAGCCTAGATTCCTCAAAAAACTGCAAAACTCCTCTCCTTTACAACGGGATGAGTCTATATTTAAGTGCAAAAGAAACATCTTAGTGCTTATACTCACTTATTCTCCAAAATTGCACTTAATACAGAGGGACTAGTATACTTCAAAGCCAACTGAAAGTAACAGATAATCCCGTCCTGAAGGATAAAGTAACCTCGTTTAGCTACAGTAAGTAGAATGTAGAGGTAAGAAAGCCAGGAAGGTCAACCAGACTAGCGCCCGGCTTGCTGCCCTAAACTTAGGGAAGGAGATTTAGGAATGAAAAGAGAGAGATAGAAAGAAGAGAACATAAAAAAACACGTGAGCTAAACTAGACTGCTGCGTTAAATAGCAGTGGACGCAGTACTTCAGTTGTATCATGTTACACTGTAGGTTGTGGTTCACGGTGCCTACTGAAGGCTTGCAAGCACTGGATGTAGAAAATTCAGTGCGTCTTGTACACCCTCAGTGTGTGGTGACTTCAGTCTGCCAATGAACACTCGAAGTGTGTCTACCAATCACAGAATAATTAGAGTGATTTTGCCTTCCTCAGGTACGTAGTCAGTGGAGGTTCAGAATTTACTCTTGCCGAGGTGCACTGTGAATCTTCATGTCCCGTCGGCTTTGGCAACGGAGACCAAACTGCACCAGTTGCGCACATGGTGTCGTTATCTATAAAGACTCTCGCTGATACCTGTGGCTGCGACTTTGACAATGTAGGCCAAGTGGAATCTGCAGAAACTATGTCTTTCAATGCATTTTGTTTCATACCAGCCGAGTAATATCCAGGTAGAAAAGGACATGGTGAAGCAGGGCGTCGAATGAGTGCTGCGAATGCAGACGCATAGGCTTTTTCTGACGAACGTCGGCGCCAACGTCACCGCTTTTTGACAGTTCAGGCGGCCTCGCAATGAGATATATGGTCTCTCGTCATTCGTCTCAATACATCTGTCCCTCTTTTTATTTTTGGTCAATTTTTGAGGAAGCTTCGTGGGGTCGATAGTAATTTGAACACTTGAGGTTATCGGATTTATGAATGTACGCGGAATGGGTTTCAGCGCAGTGAAGACATACTCACTTGCCATCGCGTACGCTGCTTCCGTGATCAAGCTTCATGCAGTTGTGACATTGCAGTGGCTTCGACACAAAAGGTCTTACAGGGTGTCGAAGTGCTTCACCTATACATGTGAAAGCAGAGAGTTGCCTCTAAAATCTATTTTCACGCAGCGTAAGTTACCCAAATGAGCAACCTTGACGATGACGCTAGCGCTATTAGCTGGATCGATCAGGTCATTCGACTCAGAGCTAAGAATGGCAGCGTCAACGCCGTAAAAGACACCAGTAACTACTTTGGAGCCCACTTGAATATAGGAGCGGTCATAACATCTATATTGTAATATTTTTCCTGAATATCCCTTCACGGAGTTATTAAATACGGACATATTGTGCGTGATCTTTGTGAAGCGATCATCTTACTTAGTTATATATGCCATTCATTCGGATATTAAAGACAGGCAGCAGGCACTTAAATTTTTCGGAATAGTTGTTTGTCCCAAAATGACGAGTTTTGCAACGGATGAACTCGGTTAAGTGACCTCGACTTCGTTATGGATAACGTAGCTACAGAACTAAAGTGTAAAATAACAATGTAAGAGTGCGTGGTATTTACACTTGTGTATGTTTGAAGAACACATTCCAGGATTGATCTTTTCTTTTGCTGCTGTAATGTGCAAACATAACTCGACGCTAATTGATTGTTGATTTGATCTACTTAAGCTGTTTTTATATCGAACTCCAATTTCGGAACTCCTCGTTTTGCATCAATCGCCAGAGTGAGATCACTGAACTTGTGCAATATTTTTATTCAGCTCAAAATTGTGAGCGTAAGATGATACAATGACGGTGGCTTTACAAAGCAGAAACTTATGAATATTTTGAACACGCCGCCGAAAGCCTGCCGTATTAACGTTTGCTTTTATGTGTTCTGGTGCGGTTGTCTCTTTAAAAATTCATAACAAGTGTATGATTCGTGGCGTCCAAGGATAAAGATTCTATCCTGAGAACCTGAAAAAAAATTGAAACGGAATTACTTTCCCCGCAATGTTTGAAACACTGAAATACTCTCAATTGTTGTAAAAACTACCTTAGACATAGTACTAACTCCATTGCTTATCAGTCATAGTGCTACTTTAATATATCACTGCACCATTATGGCACGAACTAAACAAATCAGTGGGGGTAATAAATTCGTATCCTAATTACCTCTTCGATTAGCACGAATAGCGATTTTTAATGCAGTGAATCTACTAGATAGAAACATTTTCCAAATCAAAGACAACTATGACATCTCCATATATATTGTCAAAGTGCTGTCGAAAAATAAAAGGGCCGATCCCGCGTACAGTGGAACTCGATGATATGCAAATCATGAATGAACAAGGTTAATATGCCACTTTAAAATCAGCCCAACGTTACGAGGTGGGCGTAAATCATGCCGTGAATGATTTTTATGTCATGATTATTATGGTAGATTGTGTCATTTACCTTCGTCATCCATTCACGTCACATAACGCCAAATTTGGTATATGTGAAGCCAGCGAAACGACCGCGAGCGCTGCATGAGCGTGGCATGGAGTCATGTTCTTAAATGACACGCATCTCATCATTACTATGTTCACACGTCATCCATTCAAGTCCCGTATTACTAAATTTGGTATATATAAAACCAGTGAAACTATCGTGAGCGCACCATGAGTGGGACGTGTAGTCATGGCTTACATAACATGCGTGTCATGATTTCCACGTCATGGTCTGTCACTTTTTTCGCCATGCAGTAATGTCATACCATGACAATTTTGCCATATGTCATGTGAACAAAACCATTGCAAGATCAGCAAGACCATAAAATATAATTCATGACATAAATGTCATTATTTTCTAGACAAGATTAGTCAGTTATGCTCGTCATACAGCCATCTTATGTCATACCAAGTTTGGTATTACGAGATGTGAATGAACGACGAACACTAATGCCAAGCGCAGACATGATAATTATGACATGGAAGTAATTTACGGCCTAAAATACGTCTGCCTCGTAACGTTGTGTTAATTTTATAGTGACAATTTAACCTTCCTCATCCGTACTTCCAATATCATCGATTCCCACTGTACGTGGAATCTACCAATTTTTATTCTTATGTCAGCATCATTCTCAGCCAACGCCCGAACAAAGTGCCTTTGGGGGCCTTGCGGGCCCTACGCTATTTCAGATTTTTTTGGCGGACCGCAAACGCTAACGGCGGTCAGCGTTATGACAAATGCACAGTGGCAGCAGCCGACCAGGATTGCGTACGCAAAGCCTGGTGTAAGCTATTCGAAACTCTCTATATTGCCCATATTCAGCATGGTATACGTACGTGAATGTTCTGAGAGTGTGTTTTTTAATAGAATGCATGTGCCAAAAATTCACACTGCCATGTGAGCTTTGCTTACCTTGAGGTTCGAGTCATACGTTGAGGTCTCGACTGTTTTCCCATCCAACAAAACAGAAACTGGAGAAGCCGCATTACAGAAGGTCACTGATTGTATCATCAGCACGTCTTGACTCTGGGAGTTCTTTTTCACGGCTGATATGGCCAACGTAGAAACGTTTTGCTCCTGAAAAAAAAAGAACTGGATTAATTTGTAAATAAACGGGCAGCTGCTGTTTTATATTCGCTGCATTTCACCCTTTGACAACCTGTGTTGACAGTATTGAGAAAGCTGCAGAACCAAAACGCATGCCTGTTACAGCGACAAAAAACTATTATTAGAGTTTATTGATAATATTCTCACTTGCACTGCAGAAATGAACACTGCTTCATTTATTATTCATCTACTAACCATCATACAACTTTTTGTACCACAAGGCAGTTTTTCGCTGTATGATCCATTTTATAAACCGTTTAAGGATTTAGCCTAAACAATGTAATCAAAGTCATTTGCCTAAATCAGAAATAGTACTTGGTGCTGTGACTGACGACGCGAAGTCTTCTATCATGGTTGTCTAATTCTCTTTACAGATTCACTTGGGCTGCATAAAGTTCTGCCGCTTCCTTCAAGCAGGTACGCACCATTCTTATTAACATGGAAGAGGTTATCATTGTGATATAATAGGCAGCAAGCGCAATCTTCGAGAGCGTATATTAATAAACACAATAGAGAATTGCGGGAAAAGGTTGAGCGCACATTGTGCCATTCATTACCAATAGCTGCAAACACATACGTTTATGTAATGTCGTCTGAAGACACGCACTCGACGTAGCCAAATATTAAAAGGTGGACAAACAAGCCTGATACACACAGAGTAACGAAAAATATCCGCATGTTAGTTATTCGTACCGTGCACTTTAAGGTAGTCTAAAAAACTAAAGACAGGAAGTGAACATACATAAAACATTAAAATCATATTTTGCTTTCTCAGCAATATTGTTTGTTGCTCGTCGAGTTTATGTTTATTAATTTACATTAGTTTAATGAAATGTTCAAGCGCACAGAATGTTGATGACTGCCCTGTTTCAACAGCATATTGCACAGGTAATTCAGAATATAAGAAAGGTAACTACAGTCCTGATGCATGGCAGTTGCTTTTCTTTATTTGTCGCCTTCCTGCAGAGTATTTTGGGTAATCGCAAGAGTAAATGACGTAAATCTTTGTAATCTTTCAGGAGCGAGACAATGATGATGCATCGTTTTACACGATACTGTAAATTACACGAGTATTTTGTTTCACAGGGCAGTTAACTAAGTGTTGTCGCAGAAACTTTCGGAAGGCTACGATGACGTAAAAGCGGTATTTTATAGATATAAAAATAATAGTTTCAGTGTTTTTACGGGCCAGTACCACGATAATATTATGAACCGCGCCGTAGTGAAGCGCTCCGGAAAGTGTGACCAAACTATGTCCTTCAACATGCGCTGAAATCACACAGTATACGGACATTCAGCATTTTGCCTCCATCGAAATGCGACCACCAAGACCTGATGAAAAAGCACGTGCTTCGCGTCAGCAGTGTAGAATTGTGATCACTAAACTACCGAGTCCGACTATCGCATATCAATGTCGATGTTGAACAGATTTTTTTTTTTTGGCAAAGGTATATATGCATGTCCCACTGTTTTATTCGCACGTGACATCAGAAACCTGGTGGCCTCGATGTCCCGATTCTCCACCAATATGCTACGCTAATGTCGACACAGTTACAGTGAATAATATTTACGGAATCCACTTTCACTAGCACCCCCACCGTGGTGATCGCATTCTTAAAGCGGCAGAATGCTTGGCGGCCATGCATACTGCACAGTTTCACCACAAATTGAATTGTTCCAGCCAGTCGAAACCATCCGGAGCCTTCCACTACGGTACCTCTCATAGCCTGCATCGCCTTGGTGCTTTAAATTACGTAAACCACAAACTTTAATAGTTTGAATTGCAGTAACAACTTTGACAATGCTAAATGTTTGAATGCGACCATATATATATATAAATAATCTGGTGCCACTTGAAAATCTCTAGAAACACTCACACATTTACACTAGCTTTCACTTAAACACGCGTCCCACATAGATCGTACAATGAAAGGGGGTTTCGCTTTCTCAGCGAAATATTTAATGCAACGTGACTACACGTTGAGCGATCCCAATCTATTCATTGAAGTTTTCAGACACACAAAACTATTGTGACTGCTCTGTTTCCAATGACATATTGCAAAGCCATTCTAGAACTAAGCAAGGTCAGTAGAGTGATATGGAGGGACTATAAGTATTCATAGTCATTCATTTCCTTTTGTTGGCATAATAATGCACGTAGTGTGCAAGAGTAAATGACGTTTCGCCATTTATTCCGGCTGTCTGGTTAACTTGCGTAGACATCTTTCCAAACACATACCAATACCAGTAAATATTTCTTAGACTATCAAGTACTTGGCAAAGATGTTTTTATTTCAGCATCAAGCAAACATTGCCTTTCAATAGACAACCAGTAGGCAGCGCTGTCCTTCCTTGAGTAACATTTTTTCTACCCTCTTTCCTGCTAAAAAATAAACTTATATGTTAGCACTGACTGATTCAATGAACTAAGCAAGCTTCGTTTAAACAAGTACAAACACCTGTAGTCTATTTCATTCGAGAGAACTTATTACCTTGAACAAAGTGAAGTTGAGGAGCATGGTGGGTGCCTTGGTCATGTCTGCATCTAAAGAACAACAACAACAAAAAAATAGAACAGGATGAAATGTATGTGCAGAAATTGTGACACACCATGCAATTGTTCATTTATTCATGCTTGCGCGTATCTCAGTACGCACTACTGAAGCTGTATGGCGAGAATAAAAGTGTGTCGCATGCGTGACTTGTTCTAAATGAAATTTCAAAAACATGGCGCAGCTCAAAAGATGTTGCGTACGGTATGTGATGCCGTCGTCCCAGAAGAGGAAACCCGATGCATCTCCGTTCTCGTCAGGAGAGATGAACAGTTCCAATTCCTTCACAGAACTGCAATAGACATTTCATAGTATTAGTGTGTGCGAGAAGGTAGGCTGTGCATATAGCAGCGCCGAAATGCACTACACATGTTATTTTTTGAAATATTTGATTAAAACAGCCTGAGACCCCCTCTCCCCCTTGAGATGTCGCTGGTGGAATGAAACTCGCTACACCAGTATCATACAATTTGTAGTGGTCGACACGTTGTTCGATCGCGCTGCCTGCTCATGCATTCTCGGACCGCAGGAAAAAAGCAACAGGGCCGCAATTTTTCAGACATGTCATTGCTTGCGCATGCATGTTTAAGTGTGTACTTTGAAAAAAAAATAAGTGCCCTTTGAACACATAGTTATGCAAAGAAGAGCACATATATTGGTGTGGTGCAGTGATAACGTAAAATTGAGGGCTAGAAAACCTGTTTTCTATACAAAAAAATAGCCCTTTCAACACTCACCTGTTGCGGTTGTCAACCGGGCGAAGCAAAGGAATTATGAAACCACCCCTGACGTGCAAGGCGACGTTCTCGGAGTTGAGTGTTATGTCTCCTCCACGCTGTAGATTGATTGATTCGCCCTGTAAATAAAAAGAACATTCAGCGGACTGGCGCAGGAAGCCTGCCCGGAACCTATCGGGTTTTTATGTCCAGAGGGCTGGGAGTGAAATCATGCAGATAGACACGTTTCGTTCGAAAGTCTAGCGCTGCTTCTTGTAGAGTACCAATAAAGGATATTCATTTGCTTAAGGCCCGTGTATGTGTGTTCGCAAATAAAATCCGATGCAAAAAAAAAAAAAAACTTTCAAAAGTTGGAAAGTAACGCACTTTGTTACTTTCTTTTGTTCTTGGCCAGTTAGTGCTTTCAAAAGCAAAAAAGAGCGAACATATTACTAGACTGACCGGAAGGCTGGAAAAAAGGAGGTGCAGTTTTCATCAAGTCGATTGAAGATACTTTGCAACACGCGCTTTCACAAAACCAAGATTATTAATTTTAGTAACTGAAAATAGTTCCCTGAACCGTAGAGCAACAGAGATAGAAAGAGATAACAAAATGAGAGAAAGGCATGAAAGTCAACCAGAGAGGTAGCATCTTGTTTTCTACCATACTCCAAGGGTAGAGGGACAGGAAAGATAGAAAGTATAGCGCAAGGAAAAGCAACCACGCGATAAAAAATGAAATGAAGATTCAGAGCGAGAAAACTATGATCTATTAATTAGACCACAGTCACGCAGAAAGTTCAGTAAGGCCGTGATTGACTTCCGGTGCGAAGATAGCTCGAGTCGGCATTCTAGCACTGACAGTTCCGACAGGGGCCTGTCGTCAACACGGGCCACCACCGCTGCTGGCGACAGCATTTGCGCGCTGTAGCGAGGCTATAAACAACAAATATGGTCTATCATTTTATCACCGCCGCAGTGATTCTAAGCAGAACGGTTTTCATGCCAATTCGGATAGCAAAACATTTGGTGAAAGCGGATGAAGGTGGAAGTCGACGAGACAGATCCAGTCGGTGCAGTTGTGTGTGCATCAAACTTAGTGTGTTCGACATCGATTTTACGTCTTCATTAGCAAATCTCGCGAATTTCAATTGCACCATTTCTCCTTGAAAATTAAATTGACTCCTGAACTTCGTTTTTGTGTAAAGTAAAAAAGGCTGCAATCATTCACTTATTTTTTTTGTAAAACTGGCAGCCGCTTTTTATGTGAAGCCATTATTGATTGATTGATATGTGGGGTTTAACGTCCCAAAATCACCATATGATTATGAGAGACGCCGTAGTGGAGGGCTCCGGAAATTTTGACCACCTGGGGTTCTTTAACGTGCACCCAAATCTGAGCACACGGGCCTACAACATTTCGCCTCCATCGGAAATGCAGTCGCCGCAGCCGGGATTCGAACCCGTGACGTGCGGGTCAGCAGCCGAGTACTTTAGCCACTAGACCACCGCGGCGGGGCTGTGAAGCCATTATGCATTGCTGAAAAGATAAACTACATTTTCAAATAATCATCTTATTTTAATTCAAATGGTATAAATCTGGCTTAAATTATAATCAGTCTGTTCTCGACAAGAACTTGAGAACGTTATGTTGCGCTTACTAGCCTTCTTTCCTGACACAGGGTATTGTTCTCATTACTGTTTGAGGCACCGGAAGAATTCACAAGCTTTTACAGTTCAGAGTGAAAATGTTTATCTCTAGCGGAAATGCAAACTGCAGAGCAAATACCAAGTGAAGAACGGCAATGATAGCTTCGTTATAAGTGTAGTGATTAGTTGTTGTTACTTCGCTTTTTCTCGCATTTTATGTGTTGTTACTATAGTCTGAAGGGGCCATTTTTCGACTAAGAACGTTTATATAACTGTTGCGCAAATAAATTATACAAGAGTGCATTTACCGCATAGAAGTCGCACCACTGGCCTGCTGGGAAGTAGCCCTCCACTCCGGGTGCGTCCTGCAGATGGGTATTGACCTTATTTGAAAAACAAATATTGAAACTATAACAGTTAGAATGAAAAATAATGTTAAGTATGCACGCGCGAACATAAAATGACACAAAACGGGAAGGAAGCAGCCTGACAGATGCCACCGAGGAGGCCACAATGTCTGCCCACTCTTTCGAGTGGACGGAATAAACACGCGAAAATGAAGCGGTACTAAAGAAGAAGGAGACAGTTCGAAAAAAGTGACAGACAAGAAGATGAGAAAAACTTCAATACTAAAAGCCAGTTTTTCTTTCTCAGTGGAAGCTAGCAAGGCAAGATGGGCCAGCTCTGGCGTTATAAACCAATCACTGCTTTCTCGAAGCCTAATTTTGCTTGGTCACCGGTAAGCACCAAAGATGTTTGACATGAAGGTTGTGGAATTGAAACGAATCTGTCAAGCTGATTTCATAGATATCCTAGACAGCCGGTGACCATACTCTCATACAGTTCACGAGCATAGTTGGCGTAGCTAAGATTCTAAGGACTATAGGCATACCCTCTATATTTGATGGAGGATGAAACAAGCCACGAACATTAGGTAAAGCACGCCGAATTGAGACAGTATTTCGTCAGGACAAATGGACAACTTGGGCTAGTTGGTGCCTATTATACTTTTTTTTAAACAAATAGTGCATGAAGAGAACGAACGCAAGAAATTGAAGGGAGATACACTGTTTTCCTAACTTACACGCGATTCAAAATTTGCCTCGCAGGGTTGTAACTAAGCCCACATTTTTTTATATTTAACGTTAGTTTTAATTGTCTCACTTAATATAGGCTGCATGCTATCACGTCCGTGGAGGAGAGATATGGCATTTCTGGATGCACGATCTCCTCATGTCTATAAAATAACTACTGGCCACTGCCAGAAGTTGCTTTATTTCCTAGCGAATGGCATTTTAAAAGATATTTACTCTGTTCTCAGCGATGACGTGCTTGAAATATTCGAAGACAGAGCACCGTATTGTGACGTAAGAAACTTAGAGCGATCTTGGTGATTACGTTTCTCTGCGTATTGAAAAAATGACTCCCACTATATTATGCTCTGGCGCAGTACAACCGAAGATAACACGCATTTGATGCGAATTAATTCACATCAAATTTCAAGCACAACCAGTTGCTCTGGATTTCAATGTGATACGTGTGACGATGAGTCCAACGTGGTCACTACAGTGTTTCATATCACAAGTGTCACATTAACGCAATCTTGCGTATATTTTCCTTAACTGCACATGACATTAAACGTGAAAGGACAACACCAAATCTACTTCGAAATACTGCACACCTTCTTCGTATGCGCGTTTATAATGTTATGTATTTCACCTGATTGTATTCAGAGGGTAAATAAAGAAGTCAAAGGCCAGATATAGTGTCGCAATAGCTATGATCTTACAGCTACAGTTAGTTTGTACATAGTCTGGCAACGTTGCACCTAAAGGAGTGGAAAAACAGCAGTATTCACATTCACGTTGCGCTTTCTCTTCCTCCACGTATTTCTCCTTTAGAAGGCTAGATTTGCCTGGATAAATACTGACCCAAAATTACAGAATGCATTCCTAAAACCTAAATTTTCTAACGCACACTAACTTGCTCTTTTTGTAAGAGTTTCCGTGATGCACACTCTGCTCATAAAAATCCATGCGAACATGAACGTACCTCTTGTATTTTGGGAGAAACGAGTAAAGCAGAGCCCCACAAAAACTGATGGCTGATGTTCATTGTGTTAGGGTCTGTGGGATACCTGTTGATGTAAGGAACACAGCGGTAAGCAATAGAGCATCTAATAATCATCAGTTTCATGCTAACTGCACCGGCTGCGTGTTTAGCCGCACATGACATTTATTTCCAAACGAATGGGAGGGACTTTTTTATTTTTCAAATAAAAAAGTCACGATATGTGTGACACGTTGAAAACTGATAGAGAGACAGAAAACATTAATGGCAGTGAATGCAAAGGTAACTTTACTTGCAAGCATGGCAAAGTGTACTGTCCAATTCATACTAAAGCGGAGCTAAAATATTGGTATATCCGAGCTGTGAACGGTTACAAGAGCCGCTGTGTAGGTTTCAAAGAGTGGGGATTTATATGTAATTGACGGGCTTGGTTACAATCTTCACTTTTGTACACCTATCGCGCCTAGGATGAGTTGGAGTAGTTTTCGTGGAATGCTGCGTAGAATAACAGACTGCTGGGTAAGAGTAGTAACAGCAAGATAGACAGATGAATAGATGACGTACAAGATTGAGAATCTATCTTAAACACTCATTCGGGTGTTAATTTCGCGCAAGCTGTTCGAACTGCCCAACATCCGTCGTGGCACTGAGCTTAGTGCAAAGAAAATGGAAGCACTACCCTGCACCGTCAGCTCCGTTGTTTTAAATAATAAGACGTTTTCTCTCTTCTCTCATGGCTACTTACTCATAAAATAGTGCTCGCAGAACGGCACCACCAATCACGTGAGCCTCGTAGAAGACGGTGTACATGTACGGCAACAAGCGCTTCCTGGTAGTGAGTACAGCTGCTGACGCATTTAAGAGTCTTGTCGCCACCTCGTCTTCCTGGAGGGAATGAGCATGCACGTCGCTTTATTCTAAAGCAGACGATGTCGTTGGTGTGTGCATCAAATGCGTTCTGAAGGGTGACCACTGGTAATGTGTTGTGGTGTGCCCAATTCAGCCGTGACTAAATTAAACACACTGGGAGATCTACGCAACGCATGAATGCAAATTGTAATACATCTCCCGCTTTTAGGAATAAAAACTCGTGCATTCAGTAGGAAGCAACGCGCAATTAGGATCGCTCAGATAGCGCTTGCGCAGTGCCTACTTATAATAATGCGATAGAGTCAAAATTCTTCATTTGCAGACATTGCTATGACGTATTTGGCGGTATTCATAATCGGAAGCTTTGATGCAAGATTGATGCAAAGAATAAACATAAAGAGCATCTAGTTCAATATGGAGTTGAACCCAAAACTTCTTCACGCTACTCTTGAAGCTACTTTTTACAATAAGGGCCAGCTGTTTCTATATGCTGCACGTTCACCAACGAAGATGTGCAATTACCTAAATGTATATGAGCAGTGAAACAAAATAATAACACCACACTTGTCTTCTTAAGCTCTTTCAAATTTCAGGACTGTGGATAATGTTCTTCATTTACGCATTTTGGTTATATGCGTCACTTTACCTCCAGGTTCTCCGCGAGTGTCATTCTTCGGATGGACAACGGAAGCAGCGCGGTCACTTCATGCCACGCTAAACGGGCATCTTCTGACTCATTAGACCAGTGGCAGTAGCCGCCAACCTGCGTACATATAAATCGTTCATAAAGTATGCAAAGATGTCGGCGTGTGAGACTACATTACGCTTTAAAACGTACTTCACTTACAAAAGGCTAGTTACCATAGTTTAAAACCACGTTTAGCCATTGTAAGCAACTGTTGAACATATCTTTCAAGCAAGAAAGACTTTTTGCGCGGATACTAAAGTGTAGCGGTGAGACGGTGCGAAATTAGGTATTATGATAGAAAGTTACTGGACTAATTTTCAATGCTTTGTTGTTCGCTGAATTGAAATGTATGAATCGGAATAATTTTTCTGGCAGCTGCTGCCTCTGCATGCTAGGCATACTAAATAATTCTGTAGGGCTTCGCTGTAAGACAATGCATTATAGGGGAGTCCTACAATGATTGCGAACTTATTTAAAAGCAGCTAATTTTAAAAGCGAATATTGGATGCCACCAAAAGAGTATAGTTCCGACAAAAGCCAGGGGTCGACACACGTTTCAACGAAATGACACAGTGGTCGCCTTCCTGAGCCCCTAAAAGGTGGTAATTCATCCAATGAAATATTCCCTGATCTATAAATGAAAAAAAAAGTCTTTCACTTCATCGCTAAGAATGTGCAGAGGAGACATACGAAGCGCTTCGCATCAAGTATTCCTTGTGAAGACACGCTTAGAATGCAGTATTTCCCCTTACAACCTACTTTACCCTGCATTCTTATGTCAGTGATTTTATTTGGGTGATTGCCACGGTGACGACATTTTCGATGTAGGTGGAAACGCTTGAGGCCGGTGTACTTATATTTAAGTGCACGTTAAAAAATCCCAGGTGGTCGAAATTATCGAAGATCTTCAGTAAAGCGTCCCTGATAAACATACGGTTGTTTTGGACCCAGCAATGAGAAGTCCCACAAGTCCCAGCAATGAGAAGTGTTTAAGCGGTTGACGCTAGTGACGAGAAACAACAGGCGAGAACATTGTCGCATAAAATGCAATGATTGAAGAGTACTCAGAACTGCATTATATTTCTTTTTTTGGTGCTTGTCCTATTAACGAAGTATTTTTAGTCGACAAATTATGAGTTACTTACGTATTGGGTTAGGGGACGTATAATGAGTTTCAGTATAAAAGGAACCGCATCACAGGTATCGATATTAGTTTTTGCTTCGGGCACGTAAAGTGTTTGTTAGTGGTTGGTAGGTATGTCTGCATCCTTCCTTCTCTCATTCCTTTGTTTGCTACTTTTTAGTCTCCCCTTACCCTTTCCCCAGTGCAGGGTAGCTAATTGTTTCTTTAACAGTTCCTCTTTGCCTCCCTGCCTTTCATCATACCATATTTCTCTCTTTCTCTTTTCGCAATGCGTTAGTTAGAGAGCCTTCGTAAAGAAAAAAAAAGAACATGAACAATGCTGCTGTTGTGGAGCCAATACGAATGCACAAGGCTCAAAAGCTTGATTTTTGTCGGTTATGTACGGCGTTTGTTGTAAAAACAGAAATGGCCATTAATGATTTGGCCAAAGTTGCTATTACCAAAGGCATTCCGAGCATGGAGAACTTTACAGCCTTGACTATAGTCCTTCGCAGACTTTCCCAGCTGCATTCCTCCTCTTCGAACCAATGTCCACCGAAGGATCCCGAACCGGAGAATGTCGCACGGCTCAGAATCATCGGTCTCTCTCCTCCTCGCTCCGTCGTCAGGTTTACCAAGCTCCTACGAAAGACATCTATTTGGAATGATCCGACAATATTCAGCTAATGCCGCTGTAGAACGCCAACATATTGAAACGCGCTAGCGAAGATTCGACGAAGAGGAGGAAGAGACTCGACTGGCTCGCGAGCGACGCTGTTGATCCTTCGCTGAGCTACACCTCTGCATTGTGATATTGTGATTGAGCTGTTGCCTTTGCCTTGCATGAAGAAAAACATCTTTCTGCCGCGCTGCGTTGTGTCTCTCACCGAGGGAAAAACTAAATTATGGGTAGTTAACTGCTCATCCGAGTCTGTTGTACTACCAGAGAGAATGCGCCTTGCCATGTTTTGAAGGGCAGTGCAGTATCTGCATAGGAGCTCTCAGCAATGCGGCAAATTTGGACTATGCTGATGTATCCGGCACGGAATACGAATTTTACAAGATGGGTAATGCAGAGGTGTAGCTCAGCGAAGGATCAACAGCGTCGCTCGCGAGCCAGTCGAGTCTCTTCCTCCTCTTCGTCGAATCTTCGCTGGCGCGTTTTACTATGAAGTGAATTAAACGAATATTCTATATCCTTTGCGATGATATTCTGACTGTGACTTTTAGCTATACTGAAGAAATATGGTACCGGATTGATTTCTTTCGCCTCCGATTTGCTGGTATTGACATGTAGGCATTGAGTGGGCGTACGTTGCAACCTAGCCCATATCTGCTCAACCTAAAATACTCGAATCATGTTTTTCGTTAACGCAAAAAAACTAGCATTTGGTGTCAGGATTCTAACCAGAGCACGTCACTACTTTAACACTACAACTCTAATCAAGTTATATTATGCTTTTATTCACAGCCATATTAACTATTGCACCACCACTTGGGGAAATACATACCTCACCCACTTATCTCCCATTCAGCACATTCAAAATGAAGCCATCAGACTAATAACTTTCAGTTCATATAGTTATAGTGCATTATTATTACATCGTAACTTCGACATACTTTCTCCTCTTAGACCTCCTCCTATATATATACTTTGTATACTGTTCTTTTTTCTGTACTAATAACTCAAATAAACTTGAAACTTGAAAGCAAAGCTCATACGCTGTACTTTATTTATTGACAATACAATTAGTGAATTGAATAGTGAATCCCCCTTTCGAATTACAACCGCTAAAAATTTAGCTTACATAGACCTTAACAATATGCGAATATCTAAAGCTTCCTTAGGGGCAGAATGATTCATTCCATATGGCGATTGTTCAAGAGAATTCGCGCGACCGTCGCATGTCATTAAAGTAGAGTAATAACAAGAAAACACCATCTATTTCTTTGCTCCGCACAATCTCGTATCACATACGATTGTCTACTAGTGATTATACGAGTGCCACTCTGTAGCCACCTGCACCTTTTCTTAGTTGCGCATTTCGTTTGGCACATACCGCAACTGTTGGACACAAGCATGTCTGACTGATCACTGCGGCTGAGATAATGTGATGACTGACTCGTGGTGACGACCTGCGAGTTCAGCAGCGCAACGCCGCAGAATAGTTTGATAGAGAAGTTCTATCTCTAGTTCACATTTCGGTGGCTACATTGTCACGTTCAGTGTTAACCTATGAGGTTTAGCCCTAAAGTCGAAAGTGAGTTTGTAAGCTTTGTTTTGCACCAGGCGTAAAAGTGACACTTTAATAACATATGGTGAGAAAATGTTCAAGTGGGCCGCCTGAATGAATAGGCTTCTTCTGAAAGGCTTCTTCTTGTATCAGTCATAACAACAGTTACAAAAGCTTCATTGAAAAGTCAACAAAGCTTGACAGTAACTTCATAGCTTGTTTGCAGGCTGCGTAATTGGCAGCGTAATGAAGCTTTTGCACCTATAACGCGAGGTCACAGACGAAAGGTTCACACGAGTTCGCATATTGAACAAGAGCTTGCATTGGCTGGTACTTATGAGTATAAGCAACAGGAACATTTCATCTCACTCTGTATGTCTGGTCTAGTTCAAAAGGGCGTAAGCTGTACACGTAGCCACACTCAAGGATCTATTTGCGAAAAAGCACATGAGTCGTGATAGGCTTACTGCCAAGTCGTCTTCGAATGATGATACCCGTAGAGGTTGTGCATGTCATAGTGGATGCCGGCAGACTGGTTGGCATCACCGCACACGCTGTTCTCGAACATTCCTCGGCCCCAGTGCTGAAAGCCTGCAGCGGTCAGTGCATTCACTTCAAATGGTACCTTTCAAGCATTCCAGTCTTTGAAAAGGGATGGCCCTAAACCGATCTGATGAAATAAGTTCTTGGCGCCTGAGAGGACTGAATTTGATATAAACGAAAGTACAGAGCTTGTTACGCTGTCAACGAGAAAGCAAACTGGCGCGCAATAGAAAGAAATGCCAATGACTTCACTCTATAATGAATCTTGGCCTATCTGACTTGCGTTAAGAGCAAACAACAAATTCAACAAGTGCACCACTGTTGTTTACACACAAATACAGCTAGACTGAGCAAATAAATTAGTCAGTCAGTAAACAGGTGTAGCTCTTATTAACGTGTGCTTTGCTCTATTTGCCCTGTGTTGGACAAGGTTTCTTTATCCATACATAAAAATTCTTCACAGGAGGCAGAATTCAAATATCAAGTGATGACTTAATAAAAGCACGCACCAACGGGATAAAGGGGATTGTTCCACTTGTTCTTTGAGCACATTGTGCTGAACCGGCTTAGTTCTGGAGGGTAAGTTGGCTCGTTTATGTCCTGAAATAAAAAAGCAGATCACCTACAGTAATCATACAATATATACCACTGACCACCGCATCACATGTTTGCGTGCTTTCTTTAAATGCTGGCCGCAATCCATTGTAACACCGTAATAAAGAAGTGTTGTGCTTTATCGATGCGCTGCAACGTCTCTTACCAGTAGCAGCCCGTCGAATCCAAAGGTCCCGTAAAGAGAACGCAGGTTGCTTGTCCATGCCATCATCGTTTCCGGATTCGTGAAATCTACAAAAGCATTATCCTGAAAGCGGAAGAGTGAGTGACGGCAGACGTAGACAACTGAAAAATTGTCACATTAGCGGGACCCGCAGATGAAAAACAGATTAGCTATTAGTGCTTAATTACATGCTTCATCGCACGTAGGTACAGGCACATAGCTGGGTTAGGACGTACTCCGAGAGTTGTATTAAAGGTGTATGAGTGAACCCAGACAGCCAGGCCTGGATGCAGATAGATAGATAGATAGATAGATAGATAGATAGATAGATAGATAGATAGATAGATAGATAGATAATAGATAGATAGATAGATAGATAGATAGATAGATAGATAGATAGATAGATAGATAGATAGATAGATAGATAGATAGATAGATAGATAGATAGATAGATAGATAGATAGATAGATAGATTCGTATAAAAAGGCTATCTCCAGAGAAAATTTATTGCAGAAAAAGAGTATTTAACGTTGAAACAAGGTGCTTGAAATTACACTCTAGAACATCTGATGTGGAATAACTATGAATCCAAGAGAACAATATTTGAGAGGAGCACACTTACAGTAGAGTTTTCATCACCTTTGTTCTCTATTAGTGGGATCATATGCACCCCTGGTGAGGGCATGAGAGGATCCTGTAATATTGCAAAAGTAATAATGATGTCAATTGATCACCTAGGACTGAGATAAATCTGTATGTTTACGAGAAAATGACAGTATAACTTGCTCGACTTGTTCGCACTGCAAGAATTAAGCAACAACGAGATTAGATTGCAGGTGATTTTGTTTTCAGAAGATGGGATGAGATGCAACACTTTCCTGCAGCCGGGACGTTCTGTTTGGGTGAGATCCGATAGTGACTCGATTTGAAGCCTTCGTATACCAGAATCAAAGCGTATCATCGTTTTAAGGCTTTGTTTTAAAGTGCACAATTTACAAACAAGCCGGTAAACTTACGTACTTTCTTTTTAGTTTTCTTTTAAACAAAAATAACAGATATCACGAGAAGAGGGGGCATTGGTAAATAGGCCTTGTCTTAGAAAAAGAGACAAGCCAGTGCTACGCCTTGGTGCTGCTTTTTAGTATATCTTATAAAGGCAAAACGCGATTCTGAACTCTAAGAAATCAAAGTTCCAGCACGTTAAACAAACGCCATGTTCTTTACAATTGTATAAAAACATAAAGCGTTAGTGAGCACTTCTTCGCAAACAAATAAGCATTTCGTTATCCGACCATGATCTCCTGTACTCTTGCTCTCTCATCGCTCATTCTTGTCATTCGTTCTCTCAACCGTTACTAGTACGAATCATACAATTTATCATTTCTGCTTTGTACTGATGTCCTTTGTTATAATATTGTCATGTTAGCGTAGGGGAACACCCATTTGCCATGGCCATTGCCATCACTTATTACATGTCAAAACAGTGTCATACTTACGGCTCGGAGCAGATATCTTATGCCACTGTCTTGTGCCTCATTTTGGAGCCTAAACATTTCTTCAGCAATCAAATAGTCATTGGTTGCAAGTTTTCCGTTTGCAATTCCTTTATTGATATGCAAAGCTGCCTTGAAGAAAAATAAAAGAACGTCGTGTATGTGGGTTCTCAAGCGCCGTAGCAAGAGAGGCAGTAGCGCAAACAAGAGAAATGCAGCGCACTTCTTACAGTAAGCCAGCATAATCAACTGATAATGGTAAGATGGTAAGATGGTATTGACATTGAAGCTATGAAATTAAGCGCAGTAATTAAAACGGCATGCAAACACGCTGAATGATCATGTCGCCAACCAATGTAGCACGTTGTAGAAGCGAGGTGGCCCAACGCATCACGATATCGTGCCGAGCAAGTAATGTTCACCTATACACTAGCCATTCGTGCCTACATCGTTGTCTGATGAAGTATTGCGATAGGAGGAGAATCCGATCGAACGCAACAGCGTCCGTGGGCAAAGGTGCAAGCAGACCGGTTACTCTCCGGTAAATGCAAAATTCATTGCGATAGGAGCCATTCCAAATAGATTCAACTACATGCAAATTGAAATGCACTACCGAAAGAAATTGACATATTAGATGCGATGAATACAACCACTAAAGGCGAGCTATCATAACACGTTCAATTATTGATATTCATGAATTGAACTTTTATTACTAAACTTAAAGCTTGAATTTTCTTCTCGGCGTCTAAAGTCGCATACGCTGGTCTTAATTTCAAAGGTGTGTACATGAACCATTTGATGTAGTCTTAGTGGCAGGAGGCGCGGAAAAATTATTGTTCAAGGTCAATGTAAGTATTAGAAATGTGTTAATGTATATGTTGTAGTAACTTCAAATCTTGTATACTAAAATAATTTATTAAACTTCGTTATTTGTTCATTGTGTGCTTGTGTTCTTTCTCCTATATAGTGAAAGTATTTACAGGAGCCACAGCTCCGATTACCTTCATACGCACATGTGTTCCTCATTTACACGCCGGGCTCCCACTTTCTTGTCTCCCACTACATGTCGCAGTGGGATACTTTTAGCAAACCAGCCACATTATGCGCGTAATGCATGGTCGCATGCTATAATGTCTCTGTTACTCTCAACTTGAAGGCAAAATAAACTCGTTTGCATTGGATAGTAGGCTAATTAATTCTAAACTTGCACCTACATTATTATACATGCATCACTCCTACTATTGCCTCCATTTGATAGTCATCAGTGTCTTGTTATTTAAACAAGGAGGAACCGATTATTTCAAAGTTTTCTTGTGAGGGTAGCGTATAGTAGTGATATAGGTAGCTGTTGTTGTGTTAGCACTTCTACAATTCAGTGAACTGCCCTTATGTACGCTACAGTGGGGAGAAAATACAATGTATTGAGTAGCACCAGCACTCACCACTTCAATGCCAGAGTCATTTAACGTCTGTAGTAAGGGCCACACTTGTGAAATCTCTACGTCAGCTGCTACGCTGACGTGATGCCCCAGTGCCCAAGAGAGGAGGCATTGCTGGTCTTCCAACTAGCTGAAACATATTCACCGATATGCGTGACATGATGCTTAATTCGTAGTCTGATTAGAAAGAAGCATCAGCAAAACTAGATTAATGGCCATTGGATAACATTCCTCAAGTCGCATATTAAAAGAAAAACAGATATAAGTACGACTTTTACAGTATGACAGCCAGAGGCACGTTGTAAAAAGCCCGAATCGAGTAAAAACTCGCGTAGGTTTTCCATATAACATATTCCATCATTGTTCGTTTAAATAGTTCTGTGTCGCTGAGCATGTGTGATATTAAACTATTCAAAAAATAATGCAATGCAAATAGAGAATAGGTTAAGTGGCCGAGAAAGAAGAGAATTCGCATGAAAGAGACCAAAAAATTGGCTTTTAGAAAATCGGGACATGGGGACATAATATGCCGTTTACCTATACTTTTCGATTACCTTCAAACAGATATCAGCAAAGATGAATCAATGCTAAGTGTACGTGGCTACAGCACAAAGTATTTTATATTTATCGCAGTAAATACCCAAATACGGATAACTATAAGGAAAGCAGTTTTCGGGAGAAAAATTGCGGACAACTGCAACACTTTTGCTAGTAGTCATCAAATGTCTCCCTTAAAGAAGTTTATTGCTTCCTGAATGAACTGTAACAATATTATTTAAAATCTTATTTAGAATACTCAAGTACGAGCGCAGTTACAGGAATTCCACGCTTTAAGCGTTTCATCTCTTCTCCCATACAAGAAAGCTAGAAGCTATAGAAATGAAGGAGTAGGCTTGTATGACAAGGAGGTAAGACATCATGCCTATTCAGTCGGCTTGCGTTATGATCTTGACACCTTCTTTTCTGATCACTTTCTTTTTTTTCTGAGTGTGATCCTGATCGAACGCGCAGACACGTTGCGGCATGCTGCGGCGGCCCTTAAAACTATGCAGCTGACGATGCTGACATCAGCCAACGGCAGTGGACTATATATTTATGGCGTAGTAATTGGGATTACCAGAATCATTTGCCAAGAGAAGAGTGAGTGGTTTCTAGCAGACTTTCGAATTACTTGCAAATTTCAGAACGCGAGGTAATATTTATACGCAGGGTTTTGCGTCCCAAAACCACGATATGATTATGAGATATGCCGGAGTGGAGGGCTCTGGAAATTTTGAGCATCCGGTGTTCTCTAACATGCACTGACATCACAAAGTACACGGGCCACTACCATTTTCTTTAATTCATCAAAATGCAACCACAACGGACGGGAATTGAACGCGCGACCTTTGTGTCAGCATCTGAGCACACAAGCCACTGTTCCACCAAGGCGGGCCGACCACGAGGTGTTCTAGAATGTTTGGCTCGGGAGTTGTGAGGAGCTTCGACAAGTGAGTAGGCAGCGTTTATTGACCATGCGGATCAAAAGTCGCAGCGTTCCTTTGTGTCTGAGCATTTGGAGCATTTGATATGAAAACGAACGAGAACGCACCTCTGTGAACTGGCGCAAAACGTCGTCAGGACTGTCGCCAAGAAAAATGTCGAAGTCTAGCAGGCCTCCAGTTGTTCTAAAAGTGATCACTTTTTCTGGCTGCAGCAAAACATCTGAAAATTCAAAGAATATTTTAGTTTCCATAATTCAGCAAGGTTTATTAGGTGCGGAGTTAAATAGGTGCGGTGAAAAAACAATTCAAGTGGCCTTTTTGGCGTTCACGTAATTAGGCTCTCCCATGACAACCCTTGCACAACAATGTCTGACGGTAAGTAATTAGAATTTTGCGTATCCAAAGCATTCGTCACAGATTTATGCCACAGTGGAAGGGTCTAGAAACGTAGACCATCTTGTTATTTTTACTGTGTGCCTAAATCTAGGTGCACATGCCTCGAGCATTTCGCCTCGACTGAAACGCGACCATTGCGGTCTATATTCAATTCCATGACCTCCTGGACAGAAGTCAAGCCCCATAACCTCTAGAGCACCGTGGCAGACGTCATTATTTTCTGCCGTCATCATTCTCACACACACACACACACACACACACACACACACACACACACACACACACACACACACACACACACACACACACTATATATATATATATATATATTATAAAGGAGATTTATTAACCAGAAAGGTTGGTGCTTGGAAGGCTTGGAAGGCGATGCACCAGCCGCAATTTCCGAGCTCGAGCCGCTGCTGCACACTCGATGCTGCTGCCGCTGCTGCACACTCGATGCTGCTGCCTCTGCGCCGGAGTACTTCCTCTTCTTTACAATGGCCCCACGGAGAAAAAAAGGAGCCATCCTGGCGACTTAGTCCTGTGCAGGCGGCGTTGAACCGTGGTATTGCTTGAGCCTCTGTACGTGTACAACTTCGCGGTTGCGACGTCGCAAGTCCGATGGTGGAGTAAGAGGCTCAATGAGGTAGTTTACTGGCGAAGTTTGTTCGACAATACGATATGGCCCATCGTACTTTGGCAGAAGTTTGGAAGAGAGCCCAGGTGTGCGATGCGGCACTGACAGCCATACAAGAGAACCCGGAAGAAAAACGGGAGTTGAGGTCTGGGCATCACGAATTGCCTTTTGCCTGTTTTGGTCATCGCAGGTAAAGCGACGAGCTAACTGGCGGCATTCTTCTGCGTGTCTGGCGGCGTCCAAGATCGGTAGGCACTCGGACGCGTCTGGTCGATAGGGCAAAATGGTGTCAATGGTGTGGGAGGGGTGACGGCCGTAGAGGAGGTAAAAAGGGGAGAAGCCTGTTGTCGCTTGCGTTGCCGTATTGTAGGCGTATGTAATGAATGGGAGAACTAAGTCCCAGTTAGAGTGGTCAGGCGTCACATACATAGATAGCATGTCACCGAGAGTACGATTAAAGCGCTCGGTAGCCCCATTGGTTTGTGGGTGGTAAGCGGTACATGTGCGATGTACAATAGCACACTCAGCGAGCAATTTTTCAATGACCTCGGACAAGAAGGCGCGGCCGCGGTCACTGAGGAGTTCTTGAGGGCCTCCATGACGCAACACAAAATGACGTAGTAGGAAAGTGGCAACCTCTTGTGCTGTAGCCGTTTTAAGAGCAGCGGTCTCAGCATAGCGCGTTAGGTGGTCGATAGCAACTATTATCCACCTGTTGCCAGTCGGAGTCAATAGAAGTGGCCCATAAATATCTATTCCAACCCGTTCGAAGGGTCGGGAAGGGCATGGTAAAGGCTGCAGTTCACCGGCGGAGGCGTGTGGTGGAGATTTTCGGCGCTGACATTCGGCACAAGAGCGGACGAAGTTGCGGACGAAGGTATACATGCCACGCCAGTAGTAGCAATGTCGAATCCTTTCGTAGGTCTTGAAGACTCCTGCGTGGCCACATTGTGGGTCAGCGTGAAAAGAGGAACAAATCTGCAACCTCAGGGTTCGTGGAACGACGAGCAGCCACTTGCGTCCCTCTGGTGCGTAGTTACGTCGATAGAGAAGCGTGTCACGTATCGAGAAGTGTGGAAC